TTTTGGCTAAAACTGGTCGTATTCCGAACTTTTTGGAATTTACTAAGTACAAATATTAATTTTAACTTTTATCAATTCTTTAACAATTTAGTCAATCTGATTAGTAGACTCTAATACATGCCAAATTCTATTATATATTATACAATTGCCACATTTTTTCTAAGTTAGACGAAATGATCAGGAAGACTAATATTTGAAGATTTCGGAAAACTCTTTTCTTTCCATTTTTCAATTAAAATAATACAGTCCACCTTTTTTTGTACCTTTTTGAACAGCAATCGAAATTTGAGACTTCTATAAGATGTTGTGATGAATGATGGTACTTTTCAAGTCATATCTGCACTTAATTATTCATTATATTTGTTCTATTATATATTTTATCTTAATTTTTAAGTGAAAATGTATATCACTGCTTCGTGATATTAGGAGAGTATTTTCTATTTCGAAAAATTTTGTTTGTAAACAAAGAACACTTCTAAATAATAAATCGATAAACGTCCTCAGTTCTTTTGAAATCATATTTTATTTATAAAAAAAAATATTTAAAATTAATTAATTAAAATTGCCCGGAATAGAAATATTGCTTAATTGTTGTTAGAACTAAAATTGACATTAACAATTATTTTTTTAAATTTAATTAAAAATGTATTATATTTAATTATTCGAACTCTTTCCTTTCATTATCATAAAAATATTTACATTGCTGTATGCGAAAATGATGCATGAATCACGAATAATTATTTTCAAAGTTTTTTGATCCAGATTAACTGTTATTTCTTTGTTAAACTAATTCAAGTTAAAATAAATTTGTTTGCTATCCATGATATTGAACAATAAATAAATTCAGTCCAAAAACTACTTTAAGACACACTTTTGATCAAAAATTTATTTTTTATATAAAAATTCGAAAACCGGTTATTTCGGTTTTTAGAGAAATTTACTATTCGAAAACCGGTTTTCTGAAATGTCGGTTTTTGTATAAACCCCATCCACAGCTATTTAATGCATAAATGCTGTTCCGTTAAAAATATTTAATGTGGTTAAATGACCTATTCAAATTTTGCAAAGTGCAAATGTGATGCTTAATGATATTTTATTTGCATCCGATTTTTTGAGTCAGTTTAAAAATACCTCATAAATAAAAAATATGATGGAGAAACATATATATATTTTTATCGATTCCCCGAAGCGTTATTACTCTAAGTATTGACATTAAGTGCTTGATTGCAGTTTTACGAGATCACTATTTAATATTGATTATCTCTAATATTATACCTCCTGTCAGCATATATGATTTATCTCAAGACATAACCTGTGAACAGGCGCCATTAATATAATTCATTGTTTTTTTTTTTTTTCTGAATCGAATGTCGGAATATTCGCTCCCCACGCTCCAACGTTTACCGAGCAAAACCTATTGTGTTCGACTCGCACAACCTTGAGTAATACCGGTTAGTTTAAAAATATGAATTCTTTTGACGTCCTCCTTTAAATATGCATTGATCATCACGGATTGACGTTAATTGATTGATGATCGCTATCGGTCGATATGAAATTTACAAACGCCGAACTCGAGAACG